TTGATAAGGAGACGTGCTGATTAGTTTTTGGCGAAGGCAGGTCTAGCCATTCCGAAGATTGGGGCAAACAGTGCCAAAAACGGTACCTCGGTTTTTAAGAGAACGGAGCGTCCGATTTGAATAATTCAAAAACATTTTACTTTCTTAAAAAAAAAAATGCCATTTGGCGGTCAAAAATGATCATTAGACATATGCACATCAAATTATCAGATATTTTATAGAGATTTTAACAATAAGTATGAATTTTGTTTACATTCCTATGGGTTCCTCCGTACCAATGTTTATCCGTTAGACAGCGACGCGGCGCTTACGCGCTTTATATTTTGTTTCTATGCAGTAAAAGCAGTACGATTGCTTTGAAAAAAAGTTCAGATCTTCCAAAATATGTCAAAATAAAAAAAACATTTTTTTTTCAAAAAAAAAAAAAATTAAAAAAAATTTTTTTTTTTTAAATTTTTTTCTAATTTTGTTTTTCAAAAAAAAAGTAATTTATAGTCCAATTTATAGTTTCTCAAAAATCTTATTTTTTCGAAGTAAATTTTTTTCAAAAATGTTAATCGTTTTTAAAAAAATAATAATTTTTGGTACGGGAAGTTGCAGCAATTTGCCTTAAGGCACGATGCCTTAATTGCCTTGAGACAGAATTCCACTTTAACCCTTTCGACTCGGATGCCGCCGCTCCGGCGGTATAGTCATTTTACCATTGCGCTCGGATGCCGCCGCACCGGCGGCATGATATGTTTTACCGTTAAGCTCGGATGCCGCCGCTCCGGCGGCAAATCGTGTCGGCGACGACTCGTCGCAAACTAAACTTACATTTAATTTTTTTTTATTTTTTAAAAATTAATTTACTATTACATTCAATTATTGATTGATTTATTAATTTTATAAATAAATATATAACAAAATTAATTTATTAGCTCATGATCCCCATAATTCTAATAAAGATCTGTGAAGAAATGATTTTTTAAACAATATAGCATGGTTTTGAGTGCATTTTTTTTAAATTTTCAAAATTTTCTATTTTATTATCATGATAACTATATTTAAAAGCAATATAACCACATTTTGAAAAAATTCGATACAAAAAAAAATTCCGAGTTGAGAGATAAGTATAGCACTATAATATTCCGAGCGCAGCGTACCGACTGGCAGTCCGGCTCCCGAGTCGAAAGGGTTAAATTAGTTAATTTTTTTTTTTCAGAAATATCAGTAACTTACTAGTTCATCGTAGCTTTTGTTGAGTTTAGCATTGTATCCGTTTCTTCTGTCGGCATAACCGTTTGTTGCAATTGTCTGCCTCAAAACCTTCGTAGATGTTTTACTGGTAATTGGATTTGTAGTTTGTTGCTGTGTTCGCAGCCGAGTAGAACTTGTAGATTTTTGTGGTAGCTGAAGAAATCATAAAAATCATATTTTATTTATTTTTTATAGTTTTTAAATTATTAAAGGAAAATCATAATGATTATGACTTGTTTTGCCAGTTTGACAAGATTGACAGTCAGAATTTGAAACATGGTTTATGCTGAAAATTATGAAAGAGTTATCTATAAAATACCTATTACAGAACACAAGCGATAAAATTTTGAATTCTTGAGAATATTATAAAAATGATAAATAATTTTTTGGTGTATATTTAGTAACTAGCGCAAGTATTTTGTTTCATATTTCTTGACAGATTTATAATTGTAATAATTATTACATTTTTATAAATTTTCTTATGAAGAAATTATAAAATATATTGATCTTGTAATTCACAATTTTGAATATTTTAGGTTTGCAGTAATATTAACTTCATTCCCAATAAAAGATTTTTTTTTTTTAATTTTAATTCTATTCTGCAATCTATAAATATAATTACATTTAGCAGAGAATGCAGGCAAATTGTTTACAAATTAGTAGATACCCCCAGTGGCGTATCTAGATTTAATATAATAAAAAAAACTAAAACCAAAAGGGGATAAAACAATAAAATGTAGTATAGTTAGTATATTAGGTCTCCAGGTATATTAATGGGAAAGATGACACAAAACGTTTTAAAAGTATCTAATTAAACTAAGATAATTCGAAAATAAACCAAAATATTTTAAATATTATAATGAATTAAACAAATATATATTTAATTTTTATTAATATTTTTTCATAATAGTGCTTAAATATTTTGTAGTCTGAGAGTTACCACGGTCTTATCTCAAAAACAAGTAAAGTATATAATTTTTAACGATACTATTTTTAAGTAGAAGGCAAAAGATGTAGAGCTTGCATTTAGCAATAATTCTAATCACATCAGAATTTCATTTTTTTTTATTTCGCAAGGTGCAATTATATTAGAATCTGTTTTTGAAATACAAAAAACATTTAGTAATTATTAAGGGCAATATGTAAATTAAGATCAGTTTTCCCAGTGGTATCCCTTACATCAGAAGATAAACGGCCAGTGGTATCACAATATTCATAATAAAAGTATTTTTTTCGTTAGTAGTTTTTTTTTGGTTTTGAGCTCTTTTAGTTAGTTTGTGATACCTAAATATAATTTCTAGGTGTACGTGATTTAATTGTTTAATAAGATGTATTGTAATTTTTAAGTTGGATTCAACAGTTTTTTATATAACCTCTTTAAAAACTTACATATGTGTGTGATAAAACAATAAGACAACTAAACCTTTATTTTGTCAAATATGTTAGCAATAAGAAAATTGTAAATAAAGAAGAAATTTAAGTTAAAACAAAAAATGTAAATAAAAAAGTAATTTAAGTTAAAAGGTTATTTTGCAAGAGAAAAATTAATTAATAGTTATTCCAAATCTACTGGTGAATATTTCTGAAAAAATTTCTCATCATTATCAGTGTAATCTTTGTGAAAGATGTGCCCATATAAATAAAACTCTGATTCGCATTGATTAAATAATGTAACTCTAATTCCATATTATATCCTTAAAATTAAAAAATAAGACATTGGAACTCTTTGTCCCATGACTGTCCCTTCTTATCTCACATATTTTAAAGAAATATGTAGAAAATACACTGATACGTGTTATGTATTGTGATATTGTTCATTTGGTTTAGATAGTATAATTAGTGAAAGTAAAGTAAGACTTTTGTACCCTGCTCCACTCGATATATTTTAGCAATCAATCTACAGGATCAATAAGTATTGTTATTTATATAAACCAAAAAATATTAAGTCAAAAGAAGAAAAACAAATTATAATTCTAAATAACAAGTGAATAATTTATCGGAAATGCTGATTATAAGTTAATAAAAAAATCTTACTCTAAACCTTTAACCGGTATCCCTTTATGTGACGTAAAAAATCAATTCCAATTATTGACGTACGCAAAGGTACTACCCGATTGGCCATATGAAAGGTAATAATGACTGTGACCTATCAGCTTAGTACCGTACTACGTTGCGAATAATATTTTCATAAAAGCTATTGACAAAGCTTATGTAATATCTTATAAGAAATATATACACATGCACGATTTTCCTCTGATGAGGTTGAGACGCGAACTTCAAGAAGACTGAAGAAGAAGCTGCCCAAAGATAATATGAAGGACCCTTAGAACTACCACAACTTTATATGAACAGAATAGTAGAATCACTTTTAGAAGTAATAACTATCAATACCATATTTATCAGATTAATTAACTTCCCGTAGGGCAAGTTATAGTAATCGCAAAAAAATCGAAAATGAAAATTTTTATATATCTTTACGTTTCAGAGGTTTCTGAACATTTTGGCATACCTTAGAAAAAATGGATGTATGTGTGTGTGTGTGTGTGTGTGTGTGTGTATGTATGTGTGTGTATTTATGTGCGGATACAAATTTTCGTCGACGATTTCGGGAACACGGATCAACCGATTTGAATAATTCAAAATGCATTCGATTCGTATTGATAAGGAGACGTGCTGATTAGTTTTTGGCGAAGGCAGGTCTAGCCGTTCCGAAGATACGGGGCAAAAAGTGCCGAAAACGGTAACTCAGTTTTTAGGAGAACGGAGCGTCCGATTTGAATAATTCAAAAAACGTTTCACTTGTATTGACAAGATGAATAATCTATAAAATTTTCATAAAGGTAGGTCTAGCGGTTTAGGAGATATGGAGGAAAAAGTAAAAAAATGAGCCATTTGGCGGTCAAAAATGATCATTAGACATATGCACATCAAATTATCAGATATTTTATAGAGATTTTAACAATAAGTATACATTTTGTTAACATTTCTATGGGTTCCGTACCAATGCTTATGCGTTAGACAGCGACGCGGCGCTTACGCGCTTTATATTTTGTCCGTATGCAGTTAAAGCAGTACGATTGATTTGAAAAAAAAATTCAGATCTTCCACAATATGTCAAAATAAAGAAAAAAAAATTTTTTTTTCAAAAAAAAAAAATTTCTTTAAAAAAATTTTTTTTTTAAAAAAGTAATTTTTTGTCCAATTTATAGTTTCTCAAAAATCTTATTTTTTCTAAGTAAATTTTTTTCAAAAATGTTAATCGTCAAAAAATAATAATTTTTGGTACGGGAAGTTCCAGCAATTTGCTTTAAGGCACGATGCCTTAATTGCCTGAAGACAGAATTCCACTTACAGCTAGTTTATATGTGTGTTTGAAAGTGCGTGTGTATGTGTGCGAGTGAATGTATAAGCTATTAGCTCATAGAATTGTCCTGTATTCTGATTACTATCGAAAATAAAATTGAAAAAAAAACAAATATTGCACTCTATTGAAATTATGTAAAAAATTAAACAAAGTGAGTTAAAAAAAATTTTAACATTTATATTTTTCAAAATGTCTAAATTGTCATTCACATGTAAATGCAATGTAAATTCACATGTATATATTAATTAATAGTCATTTACACTTCATCAGATTTTGAATTACGAAGCTAAACCCAAACATTTATTTTTGAATTATAAAAACTCTGTGGATACATTTGCAGCTTTGTCATAGATTTGTATGCTACCTAGCTCCGACTCCAAAACTGTTGTTTCTTTAAATTATAATTCTTTCTTTGAACTAAAATGAATCTCTCTGAAAGCCATTAACTATGTAATACGTGCAAATCGGGCAATGCTTGTACAATGGTAAAATTTCGATAATATATTAATATCATTTTGAAGTTAAATGAAACCAAATGCACTGTTGGAAACTTTTTTCAGATTTACAATGTAAAGCAGTTTTTAACTAAATAACTTACCTTATACGTGTATTCCGCTTTCGCAGGTGGGGTCGGTCTGGCCTTTAGGGGTTGTAGTGGAAAACTTTTATCTATTCCAGTAGCAACTCTTCTTCGTTCGTCGAACATTTGTCGGACCTAAAATATAATGAAACAATATGATTAATTTACAATATTACGGAATGCCAATGATTTTTATAATATGATTTGAAGCGCAATATTCTAATACTTAATACACCATTATCAAAGTTTAGAAACATTTAGTTTTTCATAATAATAAACTCATTTTTATATTCTCATTTAATTTGCAATCAGTTTTTTTTTAGATTCTTTAGAATTTACTTAAAATTAAATTCAAATTTAAATTAAATATGATACAATGCAATACACAAAACTGTATAACCCGACAACTATTTATTGAGTTGAAAATTTAAATAATTTCATTATAGTGTATATTTGCAATGACGAATTACTTTGATGAAAATATCTTTACTAAACAATAAGGATATATGTATAAACATCATTTAAATTTCTATCCTGTAATATTTACAAATAGTATATTATCGACCCTTGTCCTAAAATAAAAGTCATGCATATATTTTCTAATAGAAATTATATATAAGTATTATAAATAAGTTATATTTATAACACAATAAATTTGATAAATAATAAAGTTCTTATAAAAATAAATATTTATACATATGTACATTAGTTCTTCAAAATATGCATATATTATTTTAGAAGTTTAAATCTAAATATTAGAAAATCAGATACATTTTAATTGGCCGTTATAAAATCTATACTGTGCAAGTGATATAACTGCAGTTAATGGGTGGATATTTGAATCACTTTATAGAATACTTCTTATATATGAATATTACTTTAATATTTAACACAGTATACAATTTTTTAAGAATGCAATATTTTATGCCATAGACAAGCTTGTTAGCTTAATGATTAGGTTAAGTCTAAGACTATCAAACTCACCTAACACTCCTCAAATATATTCCATATTTTATTTCAAATGTCAATTATAAATACGTAAAATTTACCTTTCCAGCAGTTATGGTCCCAGGCAGGGAAGCACCATTTGACAACGAGCCAGCGCTGCGCCTTTCCTGAACCATTGTTCTGGACAAACCATCCAAATTTTGAGTTTCTTGCAAGAGGCGCTGTTCTCTCGCCGCAGATTGCCTTTGTTGAAACACAGCCTGTGAGAAAAATAACTATTAGTAATTTCCATTTCCATTTCCATTAATTAGTTAATTGATTAGTATTATATATTTATTTTTTAGTGGTTAGTACTGTATTTCAGCCGAAGGCTCGTGTCGATGGAGTTATGCACTAGTAAAAAACAGACATACATTGTTTTTTTTTTTTTTTTTGAAAATTCAATAATTACTATCGCTATGTACGAGGTGTGTTCAAAAAGTACCCGGAATTACTAATAATTAAATTTCGCGGGTCTGGAGTGTCTGATTGTCAAATTTTTTTTTTTATTGTGTTGGTATACATGCCCCTAAAGTATGATGAAATTTTCAGCTATATTCACTGTTTACTTTGTCTGTGGTAGTCGCTAAGGTTCGACGTGTTTTTCTGAGCTCGGCGATTTTTACAATGGAAGAATTGAAAAGTCAAAGAATTTGTATTAAATTTTGCGTAAAAAATGAAATAAAGTGTTGCAAAGTGCAAAAATTCACCAGATATGGCTCCGTGTGACTTTTTCCTATTCCCAAAGTTGAAGAGACCCATGAAAGGACGGCGGTTTTCCTCGATTGAAGAAAATCGCTGAGAGTGCTCAAGGACATATCAAAAAGTGAATATCAAGGGTGCTTCGAAAATTGGAAAAAACGCTGGCATAAGTGTATTATATCTGGGGGGGACTACTTTGAAGGGGACCACATTAATGTAGACGAATAAATAAATATTTTTTTGAAAAAACGAAAATTCCGGGTACTTTTTGAACAGACCTCGTACATACATATTTAATTATACATATTCAATTATATATTGTTTTAATATCTTTGTGGCCATATTCATGATTGTATCAATCTAAAAATAAGCGTTCTATAGAGACCCATTGACATTGTGTTTAAACCGGTTCTCTTTATTTTAAATAATAGTTATATATTCATACTGATATACCAGAAATTGTATAAGGATACAAAGACAATATAAGAATTACTATGTATACAAATTTATTTTTATATAAATTATGCAAAGGTTTCATATCAATTTACTGTATCGGTATTTAATATAAGATTAAAAATACAACATGTAAAAAATATTTATATGTAGATTTGTGTTTTGACATTGTATGTTTACCGTGTTCATTTCTTCTTTAATTTTCTTAATATTTTATAGGTTTGTTGATTTTTGATTAGTCATTAATAGCCTTTTATTTTAATACTTTTATCATATAGCTAACGCTTTTGAATTTATATACACCTAAGTCTGTTTTTACACGGAGATTGGTTCCAGAAGAATCCGTGTAAAAAAAAAAACGTGTAAAAAAAGACATTGATCTTATACAAAAATGGGTGATTTGTTCCTAATCTCTAAAACCTATTAAAATTGGTGAAAAACAAGAATTTTTAAGAACAAGAATTAAATTAGTGCTATTCACATTTGCTTTGACCAGTAAAAATTGTTTGTACGCGCTAAAGGGGAATTCACTTAAATCTTTAAGCTAGTGTTTGCAAACTATCGATACTATCGATGGTTTCAGACTTTTTTCTTTCATAAATACTTTTTTGTGATATGAACATAATTCGCAAAAATTTAATTTGACAAAAAAAATTTAGGTACATAAAATTTCAAATCGTGCTAAATGGAATAAATTCGTGTAAAAAATTTAAAAATATTCAATTTTCAAACCGTGTTATATCAAAACCGTGTACAAAAAGACCGTGTAAAAACAGACTTAGGTGTATTTATATTTTTGTACACACTTTTTTGAACACACACATATATACATTTGTGTATGTATATATACATAAATACATTAATTAATGTAATTACATACTTAGTTTTCATTTTAACATAATTCGGCAAAATAAAAGATAATATTTCGGAAATAATTTATTATTTCTGCCCAATATGGTTTTATAAAAGATACCGCCAGAAATTCTGTTATTCATTGCTATAAAACAAATATCGGCTCGCGTGAGTCTAATTGATTATAACCAATAATTATTTATGGGCATATTACATTTTAATCATATATGTATAGAATTAGAAATGTGTTTCTTTGTTTGTTATTCATATATAGACGCACGTGGACAGAGGGAAACGATTTTTGGTATTAGTAGTTTATTGTATACGAACAATGAAGTTTGCAATTAACTAATTAAAAATTTATGAACTTATTTTGCCGCATAACAGACCAATGTTATGGCAAGGCTATGTTATGAAGAACTTTCCATACTAATTCATTCTAAATATTGACAAAAGACATGTGGTTGCTCTGTAGTCAGACGATTTTCTCAGGTTATTAGATAGGAAATCTCACTTAGGAATCCTCACAAATGTCAAAAAAAAAAACGATTTTAGATAGCAGGGTCTTTCTGACTCAGCTTCATAACATACGAGTGACATTGCAGTTCATGTGTAAAACGACCTGAATGCACGGCATATACGTGACATTTTGACAGAATTATTGTTATTTCCGAGATATTGGAGGATTTTTTTGGAGTAATGGATAGATTTGTATATTATATAAAATACACTAATATATTATGCTATCAAACCAAGCATTAAGCAAACAGAATGTCCATAAATTTATTGACGCATGTATGCTCGTTTTCTTTCATACGTTTTGTTCTATCATCCAAAAAAATGGTTCAATGTATTATTAAACAAAATAGACAAATTACACCCAAGAATATTATTACTATACTTTATTTAATATTGAATTTGAAGTAGCAACCCTAAGAATTAGACAGAGAACAAAACATTCACTTTGTATAAATTGAATAATATTTGTCCTTTATTCCTGACATTTCTTTCGCAAGTTTTGAACTATATAATCATAAATCCATTAAAGAAAGTTATGTTTATTTTTCTTTGTTTGAACAAATTTATAAAATTATAAATGTTAAATTATTTTCAAGTGAATCAATCAAGCATCTAAAAGTTTATAGATTAATATAGACATTAATATATATTGTTTCACACTTCAGAGTTATAATGTAATTTTGTACCATCTGTAACTATACCTTTCTTAAAGAGACCTAAATGAATAATACCGCTTACTACTGATAAAATGTGAATCAAAGCTATTTATAAAACTCAAAGCTTTTCACTACAAATCGATTATTTACATTGCACGGTATCAATTCTAAATTTAAACAATACCTCGAATGAATGAATAATTTATCTAAATGTCTATAATTAAAATAGGAAGATCGACCTGTCCCCTTGCTCTGGTCAGAGCAGCTTGCAAACTACGGCTGGCCCACGAGTCACCCAGGCTGACACCAGAAATATCAAGGCCACCAGGCCAAGAACTTCCAAGGCTGTTACCATACATTGTTCATTAATTTTCACCAAATAATTAACTCAAGTTCACTTCAATATGCACTACATTTCTGATTATTTAAAACTTATAATTTAAGATATTGTTCGCTTTCCGAAATTGAAACAATGCGAAATATTATATACGAATCCTGAAAATAATTGAAATATTAAATTTGTTTAACGCATTTCTATTTAAATTCGTTTATTCTGATATGCATCAATTATTAAATAGTTTTTTTTTATATTTTTATATAACGGTTTGAATTTTTTTTCAAGATTGAAATCATTTTGTAAGGTATCTTAACTGCTTAATTTATTTCTATAGAATCTTCACATCACTCAATATAATTACAATACAAGCATTTTGTTTAGAATTCCATTTTAATTAAATGATATTTCAATGGCAATATTGTCTTTCATTCTGTATTATATTTTATTTATATATTTAATATTGCTAAATGTTATTTAGCAATTGTAACCGATATTGAAATTAATGAAAAACATTTAAATAGTTCTTGTGAGAAATGATAAATCAATATTTATAATTAATAAAATTTAGTATTACTATAGGCTCTATAGTTGAAATAAATTAGAGAAATTATTAACAAAATCATAATTCATAAAACGATCGTAATATCGAACGAATGTAAATAAGACCAATAATTTTGAATTTTATGATCATTCATTCAAAAGAATTCTTGATAACCTTGAATTATTTTATTTGTAATAACAATCACGTTAAACTATCATTAATATTTGTAAAATATTAATATTTGAACAAAAGTGTAAACATTAAAATTCGAAATAAACGAAATATAAAATGAAGAAAAATTATGTAGTACTTTGTCAAAATTATATTATCTATACAAATATAAATAATCTGAAAATCAAATAATGGAAATAATTTGTAAATCAATTATGAAGCAAATAGAGAAATAATATGCCACAATTGGCATGAGTTAAAATATTGAAAAAACTAGTGGGGTGGGTGGCATCGTGCCTTAAGGCAAATTGCTGGAACTTCCCGTACTGTAACGAAATGTTCGAGGAATATTGAATGTTTTCAAATAGATTATTATAAATATTGTAACATTGTCTAATATTTATAAGAATTATATAAACTGAATTGCATAGTTGAAATCATTTGTTTAAAGTATATTAGAACTATAGTCAGAATTAAAAATAAAATCTGAATTATTTTCGATATACAAAAAATTAAAAAAAAAAAAAAAATAAAAAAAAAATTTTTCCAATATCAATTATTTTGTTAAGACAAGCAGAAAGTTCTTTGAATCAATTGAATCGGACGCTTAGTTCTCTTAAAAACTGCCATTTTTTGTACATTTAGCTCTGTATCTCCGTAATGGCTGGGCCTGCCTTTGCGAAAAACTCTCCCAATCATTACTAATTGAATGTTTTTTAGATCATTCAAATCGGATGCTCCGTTCTCTCAAAAACTCGATTTCTATTTTCTGCACTCTTTGCTCCTTATCTCCGTAACTGCTGGACCTGTCTTTGCCAAAAACTAATCAGCTCTTCTCCTTATTAATAGGAATCGAATGTTTTTTAAACCATTCAAATCGGTTGATCCGTACGCCCGAAAACGTGGGCGAAAATTTGTATCCATACATACATACACACACACACATACACACACACACACACATTCATTTTTTCTGAGGTATGCCAAAACGTTCAGAAACCTTCAAAACGTCGAGAAATGTAAAAATTTTCAATTCCGATTTTCGGCCCATTACAATAACTTACCCTACGGGAAGTTAAAAAAATAGATTATATAAATATAAATGAATAAATATGTTATGAATAAATAAGAAATTGTTGAAAACACTCATAAAAAATAAAGTTAATAAAATATGGCATGATATTTTATTTTAATAGTATGCATAAATGAATTCTCTTGAAACAGATAATTGATTGAAATAATGAATGAATATTCAGACATTTTAAAATAATTTTGGTGAAACTGAATATAAAATATCTTCGACTAGCATATGAGTCCAATATTTGAATTGACTATAACTTCGGCAAATACGATTATTTGATCAAAATATCAAAATATTCATAAAATATCTCCACAGTTAGAAAAATTAAGAAAAAAAATTTTAAACTCGTAGCAATGAAACAATATTCTTTCACAAAGGTAGTTTTACGAAATAAACAATAATACTTGATTTTTCTATAATAAAATCATTGATATTTTTGGAATAGAAAATCGAGAGCACGAATTTTCAAATGACCGAAATAACTTACAAAATAAAAAATCTTTTGACCATTAGCATATGAGTCCAAAATTTGAATTGACTATAACTTCGGCAAATATGATTATTTGATCAAAATATTCATAAAATATTTCCTCAGTTAGAAAAATTAAGAAAAAAAAAAGATTAAACTCGTAGCAATGAAACAATATTCTTTCACAAAGGTAGTTTTACGAAATAAACAATGATACTTGATTTTTCTATACTAAAATCATTGATATTTTTGGAATAAAAAATCGAGAGCACGAATTTTCAAATGACCGAAATAACTTACAAAATGAAAAATCCTTTGAATGACAAGATTTTTAAAAATTAACAGATATTATTGTAAAATAATACCCATTTTTTTTGTTACGATTTATTTTTGTTAATCAAGACTTTAATGTCTTATTTACAAAATTGATATGAGCAACAAAAATACAAAAAAGCAATAAATTGAATAAAAAATGAAAAAAGTCGAAATAAAAAAATAAACAGTGAATGAACTATGACGTGATGATGTATGCCCATTGCTAAAAAATATAGAAACCTTTTAGTTCGCTCTATTGTGCACATATTAATATTTTACAAACATGGTAATTTAGGACGATAGTTATTGCAAATAAAACAAATGGTTATTAATTCAAGAATTTCTTTAAATGAATGAACATAAATCTTAAAAATGTTGGTCTTATTACTTTATTATTATGAGTTATGATTTACATAATGAAATTTATAATTATAACTATGATTATTATAGACTATATAATCATAGTTATAATTAAAAATAGTCCTTTAAACCTTTGATAAAATAATGTGAAGATGAATACTTTTTGGTAATAATGCAAAGAATACACGAATCAATATAAAAACAAACACAAATTTGATTAAAAAATTGAAGAAAAAAATTATTCCGAAAACTTCGTTCATAAAAGTTTAAATAAAGCAAATGACAAAATAATACAAATAACAATGAAACCAAAATATTGATAATAAATCACTAACCCTTTGCAAAAGTTCTATATTGACATGGAGCAAATAAGACGACAATAGAGTGCAAAAGGTTAATAAATATTAGGTCTAGTGGGAAGTTCTGTCTGAAGTTATATCATTTTCGCCATGTTTATTTCATGTTTATTTATTGCGGATTTGGCTCTATATTTTTACAGCTTAATTTACTATTGACGCAGAAAATAAATTATAATAAAGTTGAATCACATTAGTCTTAAGTGTATAACGATAGTATAACCGGGACTGATGAAGTTCCTTTACACCACTGTATTTTATACGAATTATCACAAAAAATGCTACGGAAGCATGTAAAAATTTATTGAAGTATTTGGTAAAGGTTCAGTTTTTAATAGGGGACATGCAAAATATGGAACAAAAAATAGAAAAATATGTTTTCGACTTTTTTGCTTCGAGCGAGCATCTTTGATTGACGACGATGTTGTTAAGGTGATCTTGGAACAAGATTTTTTACTGGTAACATCGCTGATTAGTCCAGTCATTATTGTAAGTTCACCTCTGAATTCTAGATACCCAACTGAAAGCCTGTAAATACTTGTATATTGACACTAAAAAGTTGTCTCAAAACCTACATATGATAGGGTGTACCTACCATATTTAGGTTTTGAGGCTACTTTTTAGTGTCAATTACAAGTATTTACAGACTTACAGCTGGGTATCTCGAATTCCGAGATTCTTACCTAATTTAAGCTAAAAAAAACTAAATTCAGCTCAACAAATAATTTCTGACCATACTTGGAAGATAAGATTAGTAAGAAAAAATTCAATATGCGTGTCACATAAATACGTAAGAAATGTTTGGTTATTTGAACATTTTTACTTGCTCAAAACAAACAACCGAGCTCTTTTTAAATCAGATGATAACTCCGGTTGAACATTACATATTAAGTCGATTACATATTATAATACAATCTCTGATCATAACATATTTTAAATTTCCACATTTTTTGACGGGCAAAAAAATTCAAAAATGAAGCAGATGTCAAACGAGCACTGATTGAATTCTTCGCATCTACAGATGAAACATTTTTTTTAAAATGGGATTAATAAATTGCCCTCACGCTAATAAGTGATCTTTAATGAAAATGGCAATAACATAATTCAATAAGCTAATTGGTAATTTGATAATTACTTGATAACTTTCTGAAAGATAAAAAAAATTGTTTGATTCCGCAAACGGACGAAACTGTTTTCGGACAGTAGACCTAATTACAAAAAATAATACATAATGCTTGGAGAAAAGAACAAATTACTTTTAAAACTAACTTCTTGAATACATTTTTTTAATTACTATATTTATTATAAATGCTAAGTAAATTTAAATAAAAAGAGTACAAAATAAAGGATAAAATTTGATTTTACTGTAATTAATTCAATTAAGATAATTTATTTTCTGTAATCATAAAATTTAATCCTGTATCCGTAATATAAATATGAATATAAATATCCATAGTATGATGATTTAATATAAAATAAAAGCAAATAATAATAATAATAAAATTAATAAACAAAATAAATAAGTTTCTGAATAATAAAAATAATACTAGAAAAACAAAGTGAAATAAAAACAATAAGTGACAGATTTTTTTTTAATTACAATATTTATTACAACTGTTAAATAATTTAACATCTAATAATAATAATAAATAACATAAATTCAAATAAATAGGAGTACAAAGAATAGAATATACATTAAAATGGTATCCGTAGTATGATGATTTATTAT